GGGTCGGGATACAAAGATGGTAAAGAGAAATCACTAGGCTGAGGATCCTGGTCTGATGAAGGAGACTGGACAAGGAATTTGGCCACAGGTGGACCTGGCTGTGGGCAGAGATGCATCAAGCACTCTATTCACATTTAGTTCCTTGGGAGTGGGGGTGGTGTGCACCAGGGATGGTAAAGAGTGAGGCTACAAAGAGAGAATGTATGCCGAGGCTCTGGAGGGTCTCGGTGACAAGTTCCGTACCACTGTATTTTATAAGACTACACACCAGGATAGAGTGTGGATTTGAGCTGAAAATGACCTTTTGCTGTTTTGGGCAGAGGAGACATATTGACTGAGGGCATATATTTTGACCCTACACAATCACTAATTGGCTGATAATGCATTGTAATTTTGAGGGTGAAGTACCATTATTCCTGTTTTACATAAAAATTTAAGAAGCTTGTCTAAGGTCATGCAGCTAAATAGTGACAAAGGTAGGATTTGAGCCCAGTTCTAAATTCAAACCCAGAGATTTTGAGCATTTTACTGTGGTCTCAGAATCTCCAGGCAGTCTACCACTTAGTTATTTTTTAATAGATTTAACACCCTAAACTAGCTCATTTCTACACTTTAGGCTATTTAAAAGTGAAAAACTGGCCTGGTTGGGTGTGGCTCAGTGGATGAGCATCGACCTAGGATCCAGAAGATCTCGGTCCAATTCCTGATCAGGGCACATGCCCGGGTTGCGGGCTCGATCCCCAGTCGGGGGCCTTTAGGAGGCAGCTGATCAATGGTGACTCATCACTGATGTTTCTATCTCTCCCTCTCTCTGAAATCAATAAAGATATATTTTAAAAAAAGAAAAACTGTTAAACAGTGACTCCTTTTGTAGTGGCACTGGGGAAAGGAGGCTTAAAAAGGAGTTTTTCAATAGGTGATACATATAATAGAATTCAAAGAACACAAGCAAAAAGGAAGTTTCCCCCAATCTATTCCTTTTTATAAAGGCAAATATTATCAACCATTTACTGTGTACAATAAGGATTTTCTATAAATATATAAACATTGTGTGTGTGCCTGTGAATTAAAGATGGACACAAATTCTTGTCTCCTATCCACTCTACCTGCATCTGGAAGAGCTTTTAAGCTATAGACTGCAAAAGTGACTTTTAACACCTGCTTTCATCTACCTGAAATCCAACTGCCATACTGTGAGAATCCCAAACCATATGAAAAGACCACATTAAAAGAACCAAGGTGTTTCAATCAATAGCCCTGGCTGAGCTCCCAGGTGACACCAGTGCCAACTGCCAGGCAAAGTGACGCCCCAGATAGCTGTGGCCCCAGTCAAGGCCACGTGGAACAAAAGCAGAAGCTGCTCCCAACCAACCACAGCAATTTAGTAGTTTGAACTACTTAGTTTTAAGGTTGTTAGTTATGTAGCAATACACTAAACAAAGTGTTACTTAAAAAAAAATGATCAACAGTTCTTATTTTACTTACAATCTTTCAATGAGGCTACCTAGTAGTCCATTACCTGGATGGTACAAAATTTATTTAACCAATGTTCTTTCAATGGACATTTTGACATTTTCCTATTTTCTGCTATTCAAAGCAGTGATACAAAAAAATTCATGTACATTTCCATACTTGTAAAAGTATATGTATAATTTAAAATAAGCCCCTTGTTTTCTAGAGCTACACTGTCTGCTGTCCAACAGCCATAAGCTACACTCACTTTCTCAATCTTACCATCTAAACTTAGCTAGTGAACAGCTTAGAGAACATTTCTGTCACTGCAGGTATTTTTATTATACAGTGCTGTTTTAGAGCAGGGGTCAGGCAAATTTCTGAAAAGGGCTAAATGATATTTTAGGCTTATGGGCCATATAGTCTCTGTGAGAAGTACTCTGCAATTATACTACAAAAGCAGTCACAAACGGTAGGTAAATGTGTATGACTGTGTTTTAATAAACATTTAAATTGGAATTTTGTATTCACATCACAAAATATTCTTTTGATTGCATTAGAATTGCTTAGTCAGAGTATGTGCATTTTTAAGTTTAAAAACTAGATTGGCCCTGGCCGGTTTGGCTCAGTGGTTAGAGCGTCGGACTGGAGACTGAAGGGTGCCAGGTTCAGTTTCAGCCAAGGGCATGTACCTGGGTTGCAGGCTCCATCCCCGGCCTGTCGGAGTACATGCGGGAGGTAACTAGTCGATGTGCTTCTCTCACATCAGTGTTTCTCTCTCTCCCTTCTACTCTCTCTGAAAAGCAATGGAAAAAATATCCTCAGGTGAGGATTAAAAAATAAAATAAAAATTAAAAAAAAATTTTTTAAATAAAAACTAGATTGCCCTTGTGAGAGGCAGCATTTTTAAATCCTGCTTCCTGGCATGTCATCAGTTGGCTCAAATAAATAAACTTTCTTAATAGTTTTCCACAGGTTTGAACTTTTTTACATCAATACCAGCATGTAAGCTGATTACATGAAATGAATCTGTTTGTGTGTTTGGGTATATATAATAAATTAGTCTTTCTCTGGAGAAAAATAAAATAAAAAAATAAATAAAAACCACATGCCCTCTTTAAAGATTTATATCAATTTACTCTGGAAAAATGAATGCCTGTTTCTCCATTCCTTTAATAACTGGTATCAAATATATTTGAAAATCTGAGTGCTGGAAATGAAATCTCAACTATGGATCTTATTTGTACTAACCAGGGTTATCATCATCTTTTAACTTTATATGAACAGTTATCTTTTTAACTAGTCATATTGGGTTGTTGGCTTTTCCTTTTTGATTTATAGGAACTGTATTAAAGAAAAATTAACCTTGGCAAACATCTTTTACCACTTTAGTTCAGTTTTTTTCTTAACAGATATTTGTATATCTAGCATGTTTTTAGCAGCATTTTTCACAGGAGCCAAAAGGAGAAAGCACCCAACTGTCAGGGGATGAATGGATAAACAATATAATATATGCATACAATGGAATATCATTTAGTTAAGGTACTTCTCACGCAGCTAAAACATGAATGAACCTTAAAACATTATGCTAGGTGAAATATGTCAATCACAAAAGGACAAATACTGACTAACAAATTGCTAGAAACCAAAAAAAAAAAAAGGCGGTTGCCAAGGACTGGAAAAAGAGAATTGGGGTTTTTAATGTTTGCTTAATGCTCACAAGACTTCTGTTTGGCAAGAAGAGAGATGATGGTGATGGTTTTCACAATGTGAATGACCTAATGCCAATGAACAGTAAGCCATTAAAAATGATCGAGCCCAGCCGGGCATGGTTCAGCGGTTGAGCGTGGGCGTAGGATCCAGGAGATCAAGGTTTGATTCCCGGTCAGGGCACA